TTTTTTTTTTTTTTTTTTTTTTTTTTCTCAAAAAGGCAGTTTAAGCTGAGAATGAGGGCTCATGTCTGCACTCTCAGCACTCAGGAGACTGAACCAGGAGAATTGCATGAGTTTAGACCAGCCTATTAAAACTTCAAGAAAAAGAGAAATGTATGTATAGTTGATTGATTGTTGTGCATTCTGGAATGTTCTCTCTCTCCATTACAGCAGAATAATAGGCCCCCTGTATTCAAGGGTTTGGGGATGTATCTGTAGTGAATATGTGTAATCCATCATTCACTAAATAATACAGTACAATTATGTTGTTTTTACATAGTGTTAGTTATGAGTAAGCCAAACATGAGTTCTAAGATATGCTAGGTTCTAGGCAAATGCTGAGATTAAAGACATTTGTATGTAAGACTTAAGCACTGAAGGATTCTGCTGCCCCCCCTGCTGCCCAGGTTTTCCCATACTAATCTCATATTAATCAGACCATCCATTTAGACTCCCCAGCTCAGTGCCTCTATTTTTACTTTAAAAAGTTATGTGTATGACTCTCCATCAACATGTATATATGTGCATGCAGTTCTCAGAGGTCAGAAGAGGGTCACAGTTACAGGTCCTCTGGTGCTGGATATCTGTGACCTATGGTGGATCTTGGGGACCAAATCCTAGTTTCTTCCAAGGTCAGTAAGTTGTTTTTTTTAAATATTTATTTTATGTATGTGAGTACACTGTCGCTGTCTTCAGACACACTAGAAGATGGCATCGGATCTTCATTACAGATGGTTGTGAGCCACCATGTGGTTGCTGGGAATTGAACTCAGGACCTCTGGAAGAGCAGTCAGTGCTCTTAAGTGCTGAGCCATCTCTCCAGCCCTGTCTATTTCTGACACCTTAATCTCTTTATTACAGCTCTACATCTTGTTGATTTTTCTGTTTGGGTCTTCCTCTTAACCATCATTTCTCTTACTGAGAATGTTCTGATTAGCTCTCACTGTACTACTGTAATATGATGACTGATTTGTCTTAAACAGTTATCATCTCTTCACCCCCCTTCCCATCCAGATATCCTTTTTAAAAAGACATTTTTTATTTATGTGTGTTTATCTGTGCCATGTGTGCAGGTATCCCTGGAAGCCAGAAGAGAGTCCCTGAAGCTAGAAATATAGGCTGTTGTGAGCTGCCCAGTGTGGGTTCGGAGAGCCCTGCTCAGGTCCAGTGTGGGTGTGGGGAGCGCTGCTCAGGTCCGCTGGAAGAGCAGGAAGTCACCACTTCAGCCCTGGATATATTTGTTTGTTTGTTTAAAGATTT